TTTGTTAAGAAGGTAGTGGATACCGACTATAGACACCTGTAAACCGACATTTCTAGAAGTTCTCTGGTGTCGTATTTACTGCATAAAATCTAAAATGCTTTTCCAGAAATAAATAAAATGTGCCAAAATTTATCGCTACCTACTTGTAATTGTCGAAAATAAACATAAATTTTTACTGATATAGTTTTCTTCTATAACCTCATTATATATTCACGTGGCATAAATATTTGTAAACTTTTATACGTATTTAAACTTAGCTAGCGATAAAGGTACGACAAAAAAGAATACAATAAGACATTCCGATTATGATTGGAATGTGTAGTTAACGAGAAAAAGAGATTCTCGTGATGGCAGTACAGGTTATCATATGCTATCATTGTGAATGAAAAAAAGAGTCTCAAAAAACATTATATATCTATTTTCAAAAGCACTAAATAGTTGTTTATATGTATTTGCTTCTACAGAAGCACTATTTATGTAATGCAGTAAAGAAACTTAAAAATTAGAGAAATTTAAGTTTTCGAAACGTCGGTTTCCAGGTCTCTATCCAGTTTACAGGCCGAGCTCCAATACCCTCTTAAGCTAGTTCATACTACATTCAAAAATTTTTCAATTTTATTTTCAATCCAGAAAGTGTCGTGGAGTACTTCTTTCTACACCGGTTCTACGATTTACGACAGAACGCGTTCTGTCTGATTCTTATTTGTAACAGCGACACTGAGCGTTCTTTGTGTACTGGCGCTTTAGTAAGTCGTTGCTTTTCTGCGCTTTATTCAATTTCCGCAGTTTGGTGCTTGCCCGGTGGCCAACTTTGTTTTTCACTTATTCCAAAAAAAATACGCTATACCTCTTCGCCGATCAACATTTTTTCCGGAAAAACCCTACATACACTTGTCGTCGACACGCAGCGAGCGCGACAGTCAAAATACTGTCTTTAAATGGATGATCACATTGCGGAATTGTATGTGATGAGTACAGACAGTGAATATCGAACCGCAGTTAAGAATAATTATGGTTTAATTTTGAAACGTAATCCAGTGTATGCAGAATACAACAAACGCCAAAAAAACGCGATATTACGATATAATTACAAAGAATAAGTGCTCGTGTTTCATATTGATTTCGCGTATAATCAGCACAGTGCGCTTCGCGCAAATTGAGCGCCACTTTGTTGTGTGTGAATATATTATTTGATTTTAATAGTAAATTAAAATATACAATCTGCGTAAACATTCTTCCCGTTCAAGTTTTTAAGTGAGTATTCATAGGTTGATGTTATATTTCTATGTCACATTTTGTGTATAGTAATCGAACTAACACAATCCGTGTATACAGAAGGGATAAAGTAGGGGAGACCGGAGCTAGTTGTGACACGAGGTTAGTTGTCAAACTGCTATTATCTTGCTTAGTAAATCTTGGAAAATATTCTTCTTTTTATTGTAAGTTGCTATACTAGTTGTGCTAGTAACGTGTACGAAAGAACTTTTCTTAAAAACATTATATATGATATTTACGAGCACTTTTGTAAAACTGGATATGGCAAGTAGATTTTTCTGATCTCGATTCTTTAGTAATTTCATTGATTTCAAAATTTCTAATTGCAATTTTATCTTATGTATAGGAAATATGGTAGTTTTAAATAAGTTTTCCTATATTTATTTAATCGTCATCGCATCGCAGTTTATACATATAATATCTTTTATTTAAAATGAACGTTTGAGATAAGTTGACTCAAATTGAGACGGGATAAGTTGTCACACGGTGAGCATGCGCGAAGAAGTAATCGCAGTGATCGTTATGCGTCGTTATGACTTTTTCAGTACCTGTCATTGTTTTTTTTTATTAAAGATTAGATTACTAATTATGTTTTATAGTTTTTAACTGATTTAATATTGTGAAATCATTTAAAGTTGTTTTTTTTATATATATATGATTATTAATATTGTATAAATACTTTATACTTAATGTATAATGTTATGTACTCTCAATAAATTTAATAAAATAAAAAACAGAAATTTTATCTTATTGTTTCTCTGCGTGAAAGACATGTGACAATTAACCCTGACTATGGGGCAAATTGACAAATCTGCGCGATTGTACTTAACATTAAAATACTCTTTTGTGTAAAGATATATAAGAATAGAATTAGTTTTTTCTTAAAGCTAAAAGATGTGACTATTATATAATGTACCTAATATTACATAATATTGCGTACATGTGTTTTTTTTTACAATCTATTTTGGATGTTACTTTGTGCCCCGGTCTCCCCTACCTGAAGTAATATTACAACAATCTTAAATATAAAACGCAAACGTTCTGCGATTGTGTTTCTATGTTCAATATGTCACAAAAAGTATTACTTGTCCAAAACTTACTAATAAATTAGTACCCTAATAAGAAAATATTGCACAAAAATAGCATCATGAATTGACAAATAATGTCACCATGATTGCAGTACCAAAAAGATAATTTGCCATAACACCTGTCAAAATAAAATTTTGTAAATACTATTTGTCACAAATAAGGAAAATCCAATTTAGAAAGTATTAACTTTATATTTTATAATATTTCAATTCTTTGATACTCAGAATTGTACACCTGGACAAAAATATATTAGATCTAACTTAAATTTAACGAGATAAAAAAATGAAAAAATAGATCTAAATAAATCCAAATTAAATCTAAAAAAATATAAAGTAGATTTAAATAAATATAAGTAGATTTATTAAATTTAAATTTTTGTATAATATTTAATTTCGTTTTGATCTACTCAGATCTTCTATAATCCAAGTATTCAGATTTACTTAGATTTAAGCTCATCTGAACAGATTTGAAGTGATCGAATATATAATAAATCTAAGCAAATCATAAGTAAATCTAATAATAAATAAAAGTGTCACTTTACATACATTTCCTTATATTTATTTAGATTTACTTTATATTTATTTAGATTTACTTTATATTTATTTAGATTTACTTTATATTTATTTCGATCTACTTATATCTATTTAAATTTAATTTAAATCTAATTAGATTTATTTTTCCATTTTTTACCTCTTTAGAATTGAATTAGATTTAATTCTTTTTTTCGAAGAATTTAATATTTGTGTTTAATGTAATGCAGCGAAACTATTTTGCAATATTTGCACCATTTCAAGGTAAACTATTTATATTCTATTTAATAAATTACTTTAAATTTTGTTACTTAGTACTAATGATGAAGAATCTCACTTTTCACGATCACAAAACTTTGGTCAAAACGTGACCACAAAACGTTACCTGCTTATTTTAAAATACTCGACAAACATTATTGAAAGCCCAGTTTACATGCATTACATAGAAATTGTTTTGATTTTTGATTTAAGATTTTGCTGCATTAATGCGTACTATTTTCTGTCGCAATATTTGTACAGTATATTTTATACACATATACAAGTCATTGTGCAGTTCTATAACGCCATACATGCAGTACTTTGATTTTTTCGTGTGCAATTATATTTCTATATGATTTCAATAATGCATAGCTTAATTTTTTTCTTAATTAGTAGACAATTTCTTTTTCAATTTACTTTTGCAAATTTACTGCTACAATCATTCGCCATACTGTTATTCTTTCGTCAAAATAGTATTTAAAACTTACGTTTGCAGACAGTTACAAATATTTTATACGACGATCAAAATTTCTCCTGGCAAAAGCGTGAATACATTTGTCGTCGCGACACGCAGCGAGCGCGACAGTTTGCTTATAGTGCTAGCTTATAGTGTGTGAGCTTCACTGTCAATTATTATTATATATTTACTTATCTTTAATTGACTATACTATCTACATCATATTTACTATACACGTTATCTCTACTGGTTTCTCACAAATAATACTACACCAAGTAGTCGTATTACTTATTTTATTAAATTTTGTAAAGAAACCATTTTTAATTTGCAAGTTCCGACACTGTCCTTGATAATCACAAATATATAAAAAATAAAAAACCGAACAATCCACGAACTCCTACTAATTCTCTGACATAGGATATTTAAAATTTCAATATGATTGTATGTACCCGACCTGCAGCTTTAGGTGCTGTGAACATACAGANCACGCGATCTTCTCTATCAATTTTTTTTTCTTGATTTGTGTAACTGCATACCAATAAATTAATACTTGTTTTACTCATACTAAAATTCCGAAGGACTAAACAAGTTTACAGTACAGTTGTTCCTTATATTAGTCAAATATTTGTAGTTCGACGATGAAAAAAGAAAACAAGTTTTTATGGTCATTTTTTTAATGTCATTTTAAAAATATAAAGGTGCTTTTAACCAAAAACACATTGTTTTGTTGTTTCATACTTGATTTTATTTTTCTACTGATGTTTCTGACTTACAATATTGTTTTTGTAATGCAAGCACTTTCAGTGTAATCTTTTAATTTAGGATGCATAAATCTTAAGTTTATTGTCAGCTTGTCACAGTTTATCGTAAACAAGTCAATAAACAAATCTGCTCGTCTGCAGACTTACAACGTAATAAAGATTATTCTAATCTTAACCTTACCTATATAGATAAAACTTTTTGTAATTGAGTTTCTATTGTCACTATATCGCTACCACATCAATTGTTTAGTTTGAACTAAATAAACAGATACCTACCCTTGATTATCTTTTATCTGTTTTATAACAATCGACATAAAATAGTTTTGTTTTTATTCTCTCTCACATCTTAAGTTTATTAGCGTCTATGTTCTCATATAAAAATAACTTACAATGTCACTAAATTTAGTAATAATTATATTTGCAGTTACAATTATTACAATTACACGTAAATGTGATTTTCTTGCACAATTACTCTTTTCATTACTCTTTTGTACGTTATGCACAGTTTTGTTATAAGTATTCAGAAACTTGCAATTTGACAAGTAATATTTTTTATCAGGATAGAAAATGATTCTTGTTTTTACCTCGTTTCTTTTATAATCTAAAGTCACATTAACTTCGTCTGAATACTTATCCACTCATAGACTCATATCTTTTATGTGATTTACTAAATGATGAATACGTTCGAACATTAGGTCTTTGCAATTTAAAATGTTTAACATCTTCTAGAGTTACACAACAACCAGTTATATCCAACTCTATCAAGTTTGGTAATGTCGTAGCTATAATATTGATATTCGTCCTAGTAACACGCCAATAATGTCTGTGTGAAATAAAACCATCATTATTTAAAATATGTCCTCTTTTTTGTTTTCTACAATTACGACTTACCTAATATGTAATTTTTTCAAATTATTACATTTACTTATATAGTGACTGATTTTTGACAAAAAATAGTCCCGGAATATTTTGTCTCTAAAACTAATTATTTCTTCAACTCTGTTTTCAGGACGACACTAAATCAAAATAAGGTATATTAACATATAGTGCGCAACAACAAATTGTTAATCGTTGTAATACTATTGTTTATTGCGCGCAAGCGTGTGTGTATATTTGAAAGACAAATAGAAAAAGAGAGAAAAAGGTGGAAAACACACTTCTACTTCACACAACAACCAATGAAGCATGTTATCATGCCAAAACAAAAAAATGCGTTGTCTGTAACAAATGTTTTGTAACTCTCGAAATGATTCATATGACCATTCTTTCCTTAAAAATTTAGGGCATTCTAGATACAGTTCCTCTAAAGATTCAATGTGACAAAACCATTCAACTAGCCTATCCTCAACTGCTGTGTTGTAAAAGTCTAGAATCTAGTTAACAAAATAAAAAACAATAAACTACGTGTTTAGAAAAGTGTTCTTTTCGCATTAAATGTCGTTAAAAGATGAAATGTGTAGTAATTTGATTACTAATGTTTTAAATTAAAAAATACCTTTAGATTTTGGCATTTATACTGAGAAGGGATATCTATGTTTGGACAAAATTCCTTTATACGAATACATGAAATAAATCTAAGTTCCTGAAGTTCTGTAAGGTTACTTATAAATGTCACAAGTGACCCTTCCAAATTACATAAAACAGTCTTGAAGGTCAATCGCTGTAGTTTATATTTGAAATTTAATATTGTGTTAATATAAGAAATGTGTGTGTATATAGTATAGTACAATATCTCACTTTTATATGCGGCACGAAATTACATATTCCACGAAATAAGCGCTTCGACTCAAAGTCCTTAAGACCGTGATAAGATCTACAATTGATGATTTTAAGATCTTCAATAGTTGTTGCCAACGTTGTCGTAATCTAAAACAATTGTAATAATATGACATGTTTTTGTAACACATCTGAGAAAAAGACATTTTAACAAATATATAATATGTTATACATTGAGTGTGTCTTGCAAGGTAGTATTAAAAAATCGTTCAATGTACTTTGTTAGCTATAGTTGGTACAAAACTGGTTAATGATATACCACACAATTATTAGTATTATCACTCGAAAAGTATTTACACGTAACAAACTGTAATGATGTAATTGCTGTACGCGATTGAGTACCGAAGGACTAACGCATTTTATTCTAGCATTAGAAATGTACTACCACTTAAACCTAGCGACTCTAAAATCACACCGCATAAGAAAGCAAGTAAAGAAACTATCGCGTATTATATTTTCCTCATAATTTATTATTTAGCTGATTGTTGTATATATACGTACTGTCTCAATATTTTCAATCTCAATATTAAATAGTAAAATATACCTCCTTTACAGATATATAAAAATCCTCGATAATCAATGTGTTAAGTACTCGGCATATTTGTTTTATTTCAGAAAAAAAAAAACAGCTAAGCAGATTTTTCCAGTTTTGATCGAAATCTCCACGTATTGCTAAGATGTGTGTTAATGGTTCTAAGAAGGTATCATACGGCAACATTTGAGAAACAAGAATAGGTTTTTTGCGATAGTCCAACTTCCATAAAAATTTATCTTCCGCTAGTCTTGAAAGTCTTGTGCAACATCTATAATAAATTAATTCCAACACAACCTNTTTAAAAATTAAAACATATATAATATAAGTATGTTATTTTAAAGAGAGGCGATTGATATTATTTCAATTGACTATATATAGTTTGACGCACTGTCACGCAAACATTACGTATACTAATAAGCTTGTGTTTCTAAAAGATACAGTTTGTCAACAACACCANTGTCCTACTACTGTCGCGATCTCTGCAGTTTCGGATATTTATTTATCACTCGCCTCCCGTAAAGAAAACAACTCACAATCGGAGATTCTTCAAGTCGTTTACGTCTACATTTTTGAATATATTAAGAAGAACTTCATCTGGAAAGTCAAGAATATTTTTTGTTGTTTGTTGTTTGTTTGTTTTTTTGTCTTGTATCGATACATCGTGGTCGAGCTGATTTTTTTTATCACCTTCTACTTCCAGATCTATATTACTGTGGGTTCTTTGTCTAGGTTTGCCTTCGAAAGAAGTCGAAGGTTTGTCCGAGTTCATTTTTCTTTATTTTTTGTATTCTTATATGAAAAACAATTAATATTGAGAAAAAGAGTAAAAAGACAAATTTACATATAAAAAATCAGATTTCATTTTACTTGTGATATGCTTACGTTTAGTACTACTAACGGCGATTGTGAAGAACTTGAAGTTCCGATTTGTCGTCGAGAGATGTAACACACGTGTATCTTATTTGGCCTACAGGAGCTGAACAGAATGCCGGTGCATAAATTTTCTTTTTGAATTTTAACTGTTATTCCCACAGCTTCTTATTTCAGCCTATAGTGTGCTATTTTATCTGTCAGTTTTGTTATCTTTGTTCATTTTAGAGTGACACGCTATTTGTGTCAACTGTGAGTGTGTGCCAATTAGATCTATAGATTCCTACTTTTCCTACTCACAGTATTTTCGGTGTAATGGAGAAGTTCTGCACTTTTTTCTCTATTTGAGGCCTATGCAAGTTAGATATGTATAGTTTCTCAATAAACAAAAAAATAGACGACATAAGTCATACATATGCTGTGGCACTTTACTAAATTATATAAACATATGGTTACAATATTATCACATACTTTGAAGATACTTTTATAAACATATATACCATTAAACAAACTATTCTGCTTTCGTATATATTTTTATCATACTTTAAGAATTAGTTGTATTATATTACAGAAACGAAATAAATACAGAATACTACATAAAAGTGTACTCGTTAGTTTTTTTGCGAAACGGATTATTATATCCGAATAGTAAAATTACTTGGCAATTGGTTTTTAATAAACGCGGAAATTTTAAAGAACAAGCATTGTATCGCAAACAGTTTATAAACATATTTTGTTGTTTATAATGTAGTGATATATAATAAGTCTAAATGAAGACTTTAGGAATAAAGACTTTAGGAATAAACTGACGATAAAATGGATATTTGAAATATTTACAACCGATATTGTGTCGCGCCACACATATCTTCTATTATTTGATTTAAATCAGTAATATAAAAAATATGCAATGTGCTTTTTATTTCTTACATGTAGAAAATTTTTAGAATACTTTAAGAATACGTGTTGCAGTATAATCGCTTATTGTGATTTATATTAAAGAATAACAGTTTTATTGCTTTACATATCGCTGCTCGAATGGCTCTCGGTAATTGCGAGACATTACATCGTGTTGTATAGATTGAAGTAAAAACATATCTATAATATACTTCAATGCTATCGTTGTATCTACATAATTTTTAGAAGTAAAAGAAGAGAAAAAACAATGGAAGTAGTTTTTCTTAACGTCGATGTGTTTAATAATATAAAAAAGTTTTGAAGTATATTGTTGCTGGGAAATGTTTCTCTTAATACTCAACGAGCATTAAAAACAGTAATATTATCTCAAACAAGTATGAGAAAAATTGATCAAACCTAAGATACATTTTTTGCTTATAAAAGTTTATATTATTGTGTATAATAAGTAAAAAATGTATATATTACGGAAATACAATGCAGATGCTACATTAGTATCTTTATTATCATATACAATAATGTGGAGACTTAGGGCCTGAGCACAATAAAAAAAATATTAGGAATAAGAATTAGAAATAAAAGTTAAATGTACTATACAATGACAAAAGATATAACATGAATACAAGAAATATGTCATCAAAAAATATAACATATAAGTACAAGAAATATGTCATGGTTGCATGATATACAGCCTATATTTATACACATTTATATGTTATATGTTATTTTGTTGTATTCATTGTACATTACATTTAACCTATGTTTTTAATTCTAATTCCTAATATTTTCTGTATTGTGCTCAGACCCTTACAGACAATGAGTGCACTGTCTGACTAAATTGTTGAGAAACGTATAAGAATGTAGATTTGCTAATAAATGACAGCAAAAAAATTTAAATAAACAACTCACGGTTTTTTTCTAAAGAATCGTATTATAACGTATCAAATCTGTAATTGTACTAATCGTCCAACATCATCAATATCCGAAACCGCGTAATCACTTAATCACATGTGTCGCGCGATTGCACACATACAATCCTTACGGAAAAAACGTTCAACTCTTGACCGTAAATGCTCAAAATTAAACGCTAAATATTGAACGTATAGATACAAAATACACAAGGAAACCATGTAAATTACACAAAGGTGTTTTATCGGTACACAAATATATATGTCTGAAAATTACAATTCCAAAAAGGATACCTATTACTCTGCTTTATTACAATTCTTTATCAGTGTGTTTTCAATTTTCAAATTTCATTTTACAATTTTTTATACATTATAATAGAATACAATAGTTTACATATATTACATATAACATATAATACAATATTATACAATATACATAGTATATATAATCCTACCTATCTATCTTAAACATCTGACATATCTTAAACGTTACTAGCCTTATTAAATGAGGATTAAGGCTGCATGACAGCCTTGATCCTAATTGTACATTTTTATTTCTTCTACCTACCTACCTTTAATCAACATATTTCCTACCTATCCGACCTAATTTATTTTCTACAAGCGCTTGTAGATACGCATCCCTACCTATACAGCTAACTACCTACCTACCTACTTTGAAAAGTTGTAAAACCTATCAAATACTTTACGCGAGAGGCAGTTGTTTTAAAATTAAAAAGTGATATTTTAAATATATTTTAGTTTCACGTCCGAGTTTTGTTTTAGATTTTATAATTGACAGAAAAATATATATATTCACCCAATGAAGTTCACCATGTATGTGTAGAAGAGATAGAATATGAAAAAAGAAAAAATATATATTTAAATATATATATTTCAAATATATATTCAAATATATATTTTTGCAAAAATAAAATGTAGAAAAGAATAAATGTAGAGAATAGATAATATGAAGAACATAAGTTTCCAAAAAACGATTTTATATCGGTTCTTTAAGAGAAATTTATATAGAAATACAAAAGTGGATGTGTAGAAAATATAGATAAATATAGATAGAAAAGAATAAATGTAGAAAATAGATATAAAAAACATAAGTTTCCAAAAAAAGATTCTATATCAGTACTTTAAGAGAAATTGATATAGAAATATTGATGTAGAAATATAAAAGAACAGAAGTCTTCACAAAAAAAGATTCTATATCGGTTCTTTAAGAGAAATTGATATAGAAAAATAAAAGTGGATGTAAAAAATATAGATAACTATAAATAAAAAAAAAGAAGAAAATATAAATAAATACATATGAAGAAATTAAACAAAATAAAAAAAGCACGTATATAGAGGAAATATTATATAAAGGAATACTGTACAGTGCATGTACAGCGATTGTTTGAAGTCACACAAAATACATGAAAATTTTATCAAAAAGGAATACATATTAAAAACTCAGTGCGATTACTACTCATGCGGAATAATTTATTCTTCTCAAAAATTTTCATCATAAAGATATAAAAGATAATAGATCATTTAATTCTAAAACATTATTTTTCCGGGAAACAATCTTTTATATACATGCTCAAATTCTATATCTAGGCATAATAATTTTGCATGAGACTGAAAAGATTTCATGTACGATTGTATATCATCAAAAAAAAGAATATGTCCATATATAAAGAATTTTTTTTCTAATAAATTATAAAAAAAAATTTTAGAATAATTTACGTATAACTTACTATACTTAACATTTCTTAGGCATATAAATGTATATAAGAACTGTAAGTTGCTTGTTTGAAGTTAAATAAAAATTTAAAGATAATGTATGCAAAAAAACAACCTTTCTAAAAGTAAGTTGCTTCTTATGTGAGAAGAATAAACTATTTTAAAAAATACATACGTACTCTTGCGCGTAGTCCCTCGACGTCCATCGACGTATCTTCAACTCCTGTCTCACGTAGCAATCCGGAACCTACCTTTACTGTCCCACGATGCGAAGGGTGCGCGCCCACGACGAGATGACCGTAGTCCCACGATGCGGGACCACGTTTAAACTTACCAGTGGCCCCGTTGCTGTAATATGACGCGAAAACCGCGAAATCGCGAATGACTCTACTTTTATTTTTTAAAAAGTTGATAGATAAAAATTAAAACAAAATCTCGAAAAAACGCGGAAAATAACGTTATTTTAAAAGATCAAATATAAGAATAATAAAAATGAAGTAAAAAGTTAAATAAATAATAAATATTTTTATATGAATAATAAAAATTTATAAGAATAATAAAAATAAATTAAAAAGTTAAATGAATAATAAACAATATTTTTAGAAGAATAATAAAAATGAAGTAAAAAGTTAAATGAATATTAAATAATATTTTTATAATAATAAAAATGAAGTAAAAAGTTAAATGAAAAGAGAATAGAATTTTATTCGCGACTCTATACTTTATGTTTAAATATTAAAGAATATTAAATATTAAATATTAATGAATGTGTAGAGAGGGTGAAGGAGAAGGTAAAT